GGGCACCCCTGCTGCGGTCAACGCGAGGCACGCGGGGGGTCGTCCCGGCGGCTAGGCTGGCGCCGCTACTCCCTGCTGTGCCGGGGGGGGGGGACTTAACGCGCAGGTGTGACGTGCCACGAGAACAGATATTGCTGTTCCCTATGACGTATGGGGCCCCTCAGAAGGGGTAAGAAAACGAAAATACTCGTGATTTGCCGCATTTCCATCATTGGAAAGTTCCGAAAAAATGAAGGTGCTAAAAAATACCACTCTAAGAGTCAATAACAAAATTTCCAAAGCAACAAACCGGTTTGTGTTTGAACAGTCAGGCCCCCACGCGCCGAAAGCCTGCGCTGCGCGTCGTCGGTCGGCTCAAGTTGAGCAGATCAAATACGAATACACAAATGCCCTTATGTATCCGGCGTTCGAATTTGTTTGCCCAGATGTAGGAGGACGGTGCGGGTGCACCTGGTGCCTCCCGTGACGCCCGTGTCGGGGGCTATAAGAGCGCTCCCGGGGCGGCGGAGGGCACGTTCGGTGTTCCCACAACGGCAAACAACATGAAGGTCCTCGCCATCACTCTCCTGGCTGTGTGCCTCCTCCAGGTAACAGACTAGCGGACAAAGTGACGGCCAAGGTGACGGCTCATCCGACAAGAGCCAGGCTAAGCACTTGCAAACTCATCGACAGAAATACTGCTGATTGAGCGATTCCTCTCGATTCCTCAACGAGGTGGTTCACTCGAGATACCCCGAGATATCGCTTCGTCTTAGTTTGGCTTCATGAAAGAGCCGAGATCATTTTGAGTGGATGTGGTGTGCAAGCACTGAAGTGGCCATTTCTTTTCCAGGGCCACAATGCCCAGCCCCAGTTCTCCGGTCTGCGCAACCTGGTGAGCAACGCAGCCAGCACCGTCTCCGGCGCGGCTAACAACGCCGTCAGCGCCGCCACCAACGCCGCCAAGACCGCCGCCTCCACCGCCCAGAGCGCCGCCCAGAACGCCGTGTCCGACGCCCAGAGCGTCGTCTCCAACGCCCAGAGCGCCCTCTCCGGCCTGTCCTCCAACGCCCAGAGCGTGATCAGCACCGCCACCAGCGGCGCCATCAACCTGGAGAGCATCAAGTCCTCCCTGAGCAAGCTCAGCCCCGAGGAACTGCTCGAGACCATCACCGGCTCCGAGACCCTCGTCAACAACGCCGTTGACAAGGTCAAGAACAACATCGAGAACGCCGTCGGCTCCGTCTCTGACCTCGCCAAGGCTAGGGTACAGGACGCCACCAGCTCCTGGAACTCCGACGTCGCCAAGGTCGTCAACAAGGCCGCGTCCGCCGGTATCGACGTCAGCGAGTGCGCCGTCAACAGCGTCGCCGACCTGGGAGCCGAGGTCGTCCAGGACACCACCGGCTGCGTCACCAAGAAGATCTCCGAGGGCGCCAAGCTCCTCAACAACATCATCAAGGTGCCCAAGCGCGCCGCCGACGTCACCACCGCCGGAGTCGCCGCCTACAGGAAGTGCTCCGCCAAGTCCGGCGCCATGAAGGCTCTCTGCCACGCCACCGACACCCTGCCCGCCGCCTACAAGGCCGTCGTCCTCGTCAAGGACACCGTCAGCTACACCACCCAGTCCGTGACTTTCGTCAGCACCCTCCAGCAGCAGGTCAGCGCGTGCGCCGCCAAAGTGACCGCCACCAACGCCCTCAAGGCTGTCACGCTCAGCAAGAACGTGGTCTCCTGCGTCCAGACCCAGCTGACCGCTGCCTCCGCTTGAGTCAGTGATACAAACAATCGACGATTTCTATAAATGGACGTGTTTCTATGACAAGCTCATGGAGGTCTTTTCAGTTAAACGAAGGAATGCAGAAAGGCCTACATAAACCTTTTGCACACCTCCATAACCTAACCTACAAAACTACTACACAACTTCACACATTCCCCACATACCATATACCAAAATACTTGCATAGTGTACACGCAAGATACATTACAGTAAGATTCCTCCCATACCTGCTTTAGATTGCATGGAAAAGCTGTCCTGTTGACTTCAAGTAAAGTTGCGTGCCATTGGCTCTCTCTTACTCTGGATATCTGCGAGCAATTTTGCAAAAAAAATTAAAAATTGAACAACACAGCTTGTAAAAAGGTCAAGTTTAGGAGATGTAGAAGGAGCGCACAAACTATAAATGCCGATTCTAAAGCACATGAAGAACAACTTATAGATTACAAAACAGACTTTTGATAAAAAGTAAGTCTTTATTTTTACTTTTAAATGAAAATACACAATTCATTCAGACCCACGGAGATTGGAGGATGTTGGAACATAGGAAATGCGGGATACGTACCATTTCCGCTGAAAGACGACTTAAATTTGTACATGACTGATGACTGCGACTGGAGGTTAGGTCGGAACACACTTCACTCTCACACACACACATGTCCCACAGATAGGTTAGGAATCACAACAGGTTGACAACGGATGACACCACTTTCTTTTCACAAATCACAGTCGTGCAAGCGTTGCATTTTGTCCATTCTGTTGCGGTCGTGAACTTCCTCCACGACGTAAAATGTCACTCATTGTCCTACTCGACTCTGACCATCCGCCGAGCTGACGCGACGGAAACAGGCGAGTCGTCACCGGCTAGCGCCGGCTAGCGCGGGTTCTGCCAGGCCCGGTGGATCTGCGTCCACGACTGCTCCGACACCCTCTCGGCCACGCACGCGCCCAGGTCGCGCAGGTACTGCAGGGCGGGGCCCGCTGTCTGCGTGACGACGGAGCGCGCGCACTCGTCCCAGTCCTCGCGCGAGGAGCCCAGCAGCCCCGCGGTCCTCCTGGCGGCGCGGCCCACCTCGCGCGGCACGGACGACACGTACGTCCACGTGAGGTTGACGGCGTCCACGGAGCAGCGCACCAGGCGGAACGGGCTCGGCGGGACGGCGGTGGCGTTGTTGTTGGCGCCTCGGCCGCCGACCCGGGGCGCGGCGGCGGCGCCTCGGCCCCCGTGCAGACACTCGTCCATGTTGGTGCGCAGCAGGGCGGGCAGCCGGTCGCCGGCCAGGACCAGGTTCTCCAGGGCGCGGACCAGGGCCGACACCTCGCGGCCCTCCCAGCCCCAGCAGCGCTCCACTCGGCGCCGCAGCTGCGCCAGCAGCCTCTTGTACTTGGCCTGCAAGCGCAAGAACAACGCGCACAGTTTAGCGAGGGGGTGGGGAATACTCCGCGGAGCCCCGGCCGGCGATACTCCGCGCGCCCGGAGAGAGGGGCGTAACGCACTGGCTTTGCGTGTAAGGGGTATAGTGAGCCATGTTCCCGCCCTCACTTTGAATCTTGTGAAAAAGTTATTTTCTAAACATTCGAATTCGCTAAAACTTTTCATTCCAAAAATTTTTAAACGTTAACGTCTCAATACACTAAAATTTTTGTTACACGTGTTCAATGTTTTATGAAAAGCTGACCTGCGTATCCTTGGCGCAGCCAACCAGGCTGGCGTCGACGTCCTCGCTGGCCTCGGTGAGATCCACGTCGACGCCGAGCTGTTCGAGCTGCACCGAGGCCGCGAGCAGCGCGTCGTGCTCCTGGCGTCGGAAGCCCCGCACCACGCCCTGCACGGCGCCGTCGGCCTCGGTGCGCGCGCGGCCCCACATGGACCGGAGCGCGTCCTGGGCGCGCGCAACCGCCGTCTCCAGGATGCCCTGCTGCTGCTGCTGCGGCTGGCAGTGGACCTTTCGAGTTGGGGGTCGACACCAAGTGTTTAAAAGTTAGTATTCTCAAAGCGCTGTCAAACTTGTCGTTATACCGGGTGTATCTTTGAATGCACTCCCGTGTTGCGGGATTGCCTACTCGCTAAGGCGCCTTACGCGCAAAGGAGTAGGCAAACCCGAAACATTGGAGAGCGTTCAACCATACACCCGGTACACAAACAACGGCAGTTATAGAGTGGGGTGCATTTTTTTTTAACTCAGGCCCGATATAAATGTGTCTTAAAACGTAACACTTTTCCTGGTGCGGCGGGTTATTGCAGATTCTAAACATACTTATACCACGCGCAAGCAACCCCTTGCTCAAAACCTCACCTGCAAAGTGACGAGAGCCACGGCAGCGACGGCTCCGGCGAGGCTCTTGAAGAAGGTATTACTGGTCGCCATGACGGCCCGCTGCCAACTACACCGACCAACTTCTGCTTTGCCATCAATCTGCACAATGAGCGAAAGCTCTCAGACCCCATGCCGCTGGCTGGCGCTGGCAGGCGGGGTGCTGCTGGGTCAGCACTGCGCCCGCCTCCTCAGCCCTACCGAGCCCTCCCCAGGTCGCTGACTCCACGGCACGCGCTGCATCGCGGAGCGTGAGGTTGGTCATGGGATGGCGTAGCGGCCCACTCCCAGGCGCTTGTGTTTCTTAGGGGAAGAGAATGACAAAGCTTTGCTTTAACGTGGGCTCATCCACATTTATTTTTCGTTGTGCGTGTAGCAATAAACGCAACGTTTAACAGGCGGTTCAACCGAGGATCTCGCTGACGGTACTGATGGCCTCGCTGGCGGTGGCGTTCTTCAGGGCGCTCAGCTTCTCGGCGACCTCGGCGAGGTTCTGGAGACCGGCGAGCTGGGGGTTGGCGTCGATCATGTCCTGGATGTCGTCCTCGTTGGCGAGGCCCACGGCGACGCAGGTGCCGAGCGAGGCCGCGATCTTGGAGATGGCGGGCAGGTTCTTGACGACCTTCTGGCCGACGCAGGCGGGGATGCCGGTCTGCGCGCCCTGAGCCACGCTGTAGCCCTTGGCGGCGATGGAGATGATGTCACCGGGGATGTTGACGAGGTCGGTCTTGGTCAGGCTGTACACGGACTGGACGCACTTGGTGATGCGGCTGAATCCCCACAGGTCGCGCTTGCTCAGGTGGTGGCTGACGCTCTTCAGGATGGCGCTGGCGTCGGCTGTCAGGTCGTGTTCGGGGTCGAGCTCGGCGGTGATGGCGACCAGGGCGTCGGCGGTCGAGTTGTCGGCCAGAGCATCGTCGTTCACTATGAAATGAGGAACAAAACTTCAGTATCCTACACCATGGAGGATAATATTAAATGGAACGCACAAATTGAAACAACTTTACCGTCAGTGTCTGCGTGAGCCTTGCACTGCTCGGCGACCTTCTGCATGATGGTGGGGAGGGTCTTGGCGGTCTTCCACAGTTCCTTGGCCTCCTTGGAGAGGTCGATGAGCGTGTCGACGTCCTTGACGACGCAGCTAGCCACGTCCTTCACCACAGCCTTGGCCTCGGTCTTCAACTCGGTCTGCGGGAAACATACGTGTTCTCATATTTTCTCCTTCTTTTTTTGGGCTACGCCGTTTGCGTGCTCGGAACTAAAAAGTGCCATAGACTCACGTCGTTGGCGCACAGCTTGACGTTCTCCTTGAGGAGGACGGCGACCGTGGTCAGGTTGACGTTGATGTTGCGGGCCGCGAGGTACTCGGTGCCCCTGTTGAGGGCATTCTCCTCCACCTCGCTGACCAGGTTGAAGACGGTCTCCACGCTGGAGCGCGCCGCGTCCTCGGCGTTCCTCAGGACCTGGGTGAGCTTGGCCTTGGCGGCGGCCAGGAGGTCGGCGATGCCGCGCTCGTGGCGGGGAGCCGCGGACGCCATCTGGTAGGGACATCGTCGACTGTTACTGCTTGCCGTCCAAAGTAGTGCCGCAAGGCCTCCTTGCAGTGCAACTCAGGGGCCCTCACCTGCGCGGCGCAGAGGCCGACCACGACGAGGAGGAGGATGCTCTTGGGCGACATGGTGGAAGGGATTGAACCGAACCGTCAACGTTACCGACGTTTTCTTTTATATGCACGATTCCTTCGCGTATTTGTTCAGTTGAGGCTTTACTGATTTGACGTCAGTGCAATCTAACATTTGTACTTAGTGTATAGCGGGTAGGAACTGGGGCCAGCACACAACGATCATTTTTAAGTACAGTACTTTTTATGTGCCTTTCTATCAAAAGCTAAACAGAGCCGACACTTGACACCTGCCGGATCGAGAAGCCGACCATCTTGCGCCCGCCCAAACTGGGTAGGCCACCCATCCGCCACCTTAACGAACCGCCCGCCCGCCCCGTGGGTAGGCCACCCACTCATCACACTACAGAGCCGGTCGAGCGCCGGCTGACCAGGCTGCCAATCGCACTTCCCGACATGTTTCGGTACGACCGCTGCGCGCTGTTTGAAGTTCGACTAATAAACCGCTACTCTTTGCCCGGCAAGACGAGTCGTATGACCTTGTCATTATTTACACCAGAAAGCGTGCAACATGGGCAATAACACGTCTCATGACGCAGCTGCTTCAAGAGTTATTGCGCGACTTCATCTGAAAGTATATGAAGAAAATCTACGCGGATACTCGAGAGAATTCCCGCACCGCAAAATAAACAGCATATATATGTGAGATATCTGAAAGCTGACAATAGATGTTCTTAAATCGAGAACATCTCGAGGTGTGGTGCGTGCGTCACAATGATGGTCGCAAGAACAAAGAGCACAAGTCATCCCACCAAAGTTCAAAAAGGCAGACAGCGTTTCAAATCACGTCCTCCCTTTCGAGACTCGAGAGGCTCTTTGCTTCGGTCTGCGAGGGCGCGAAAGGCAAAAAAGGGGCGACATCGTTTTTCGATCCTTTGATTGCACCGATTATTTGCCGTTCTTGAGAACTCCTACGTAAATACAGATGGCCAGCAGGTGGCACGTGGGCCTACCGCGACGCTGCGAATTATTTAGTACTCCCCGGGCGTCGCGACGCCGCCTATCTGACTCTCGTGTGATCCCCTGACCGCAGCGGACCGCACCATGACAGCCCTCCGCATCTTCGTCGTCCTCCTGGCGGTCAGCGCCGCCTGCGCCAGCCACGGCAGGGGCAAGGTAAGTGGAGTATCCGCCCGAAGTCAACTCAGCTTCTCAGAAAATTAAAAAAAAAAAAAAAACTGAAAAAATCACACTGTGCGAAAGTTTGCAAAAAATGGATTTCCTTTAATTCGTTGAACTGTTGAATTATACGTGCCAAGTTCAAGTTTAGTGATGTTCGAAATTTGATGATAACATCGAATTTGAAGCGGTTTCCATTTTTGTTTACTTCTTCCTCCTGGACACCAGATCTCCGGCAGCGTGAGGGCCACGAGCGTCCAGCGCGCAGTAAACGTCGCCACCAAGCACATTGACAGTCAGATTGCCGAGATCTCGAACTATGGCGTCATCACGGACGTGATCGACGAGGGGCTCGAGAAGCTGAACGAGCTCGTGAAGAAGATCCAAGAGCGCGTGGAGCACGCCGAAGAAGACCTCATCAAGGCCGTCAAGAAAGCGGCCAAGGCTGTCGCCGAGAATCTCGACAAGTTGATCGAGAAGGCCACCGGCATCGACTTCAACCTCGAAGACAAACTGGAGGACTTCGAGGAGAAGACTGAGAACTGCGCCGAGGAGCTCAAGGTGAGTGTGTGGACCCCGAGGAAAGTGTTGACGTTGACCGACGTTGTCTTCTCTAGTTCGGCCCCGTCTAAGGCGACAGAGCAGACTAGGAGCAATAATGTGTGATTATATCTGCCCAGAACAAGGTGCTCAGTACCCTCTTGACCATCAAGAAGGACGCCGAAACCTGCGCCGCCCCGCAGATCGAAGAGGCCCAGAAACTCGCTAAGGAAATCCGAGAGCTCATCGAGCTCATCGAGTCCGTCCCCGTCAACACCGTCAACAGCGTCAAGCAGTGCGTACGTGGCGAAGAGCCCACCACTACCGCTGCACCCGAGCCCAGCACCACCGCTGCACCCGAGCCCAGCACCACCGCTGCACCCGAACCCAGCACCACCGCTGCACCCGA